TATAGTAATAGACACTATATAATACTTAGTAGTTACAAAATCTTATACATAATACAGACATTACTTTAAAAAAGATGATTATGTAATATGTGTCATGCATCTAGTCTTGCATGTTGACCAATGACTTAAATTCTGCCAAGTCACTGGTTTTCCTGGCTGGCTCAAGCAACCCACTCTATGCTCTAATATCACTAGGGAAGAAGGGGCATTTGTACAAATTTTTCCTAGCATATGGAACGAGGAATGTACTTTTATATTTGTGTCTTTCTGAGTATTTTATTATTTATTTTTTTGTATTTGAAGATTAAGGTTCAGTGTTTTATGAATAATTGCTACTTTACTTTTGAGTCTTCTATCCTAAAGGCTTTCTAAATTTAGAGATTTTACTAAAGGTGTTACTCTAGTCAAATGTGAATATTCATTTGTTATGAATCACTGCTCTATTTTGTGTCTGTACCAGTTTTTTAATGTTTTCTAGAGTTGAGGGGTCCCAAACAGAGGATGGATATTCTATTATTAACATTTTAGTTTTAAGTTCTTATTCGATTTATAGAAATATCTTTTAATAAACCATAATGTTTTGTTTGATTTTTTTTATAGCTTCATCAATATGGGGATTCCATGACAGTTTCTCATTTATTATAACACCTAGGTATTTTGCGTTTTTAATCTGTTCTTATGGGCTTACCAATAATAACGTAATCATCTTCTTTTTAGAAGTAAGGTCTGTATCATGTAAGATAAGATAAGATAAGTGGAATTTATTGTTTTAGTTTTTTTTGTTACTCTTAATAACTGACATATTTCTGGGTGGAAAAACATGCTCCTATTTGATTACCATTTCTGTAATTTATCTAATTCTCTTTGTAAAATTTCTGTATCTTGTGTTGTTTTTATTGTTCTATATATTATGCAATCATCTGTAAATAATCTGACTTTTGTTTCTGAACTAATGCAATTTGATAAATCATTTATGTAAATTAAAAATAGTAGTGAACCTAAGACTGTTCCTTGAGGTACGTACACCTAAGTTTACTGTTATTGGTGTTGATTTAGAACCATTTATTATTACAGTTTATTCTCTCCTTATCAGAAAATGGACCATCAATGCCAAAATATTTTTATTTTTTAATCAAACTCATCTATCGGCCTATCTATAATATATAGGGCCTAATAATATACAAAGTTTACTCATATATAAGATATAACAGAATCCGTAGTTTTATATATAGCCCCTAACCATAGATAATAGAAACAGTACTCTGTAAGTCTGTAGAGTATTATTTATAAGCCTGAGTAAACCTATAAATCTAGATAAATTCAAAATTGGCTATTATATTAATCTTGACCAATAAAAATATTCCACAATTAAGCAGTACAATACTGTCATTACAGTTTTAATTCTAATCTAGTTTAATCAAATTAATGCTTTAGAGTAACTATAGTTACATTATAGTTTTACTATTTAATAATTATCATAATGTGAAAATGTGTGAGTATGAGACAATATCAAACGAATCAAGAATCATTAGATTAGAATGTCAAGATTAAATTAAAGATAGATCTAGACGTCTAGATTTACTTGTAACAAAAAGTTCGTTATTACTTACCCACAAGTACAAATTTCACATATACATCTTTTTCCCATTGTAGTGAATACCTAACTATGGTTTAAATTTGCTTTTCAAAAACAAAAATAATAATGCCGCTGGTCTTCACGGCATAAAGTTTGCCCTACCGTCACTAAGCGCCACTTCAAAACTGTTTATCCAATATGGCGGTTCCTAGCAACAGGCAACTTTTCCTCATGAGCTAGGGATCATCCATTATTTTAAAACTAATTGGAATCTTTAGAGATACTGATAAAAACAACTACAAACAATTATGATAACTTAACGTTAAGATAATAAGCTTTTAGATATCTAGACCTAAACATGTTTGGAATTTCGATATATTTTCTGGGTCGAAAAGTTTATTTAAATGGCCATTTGTCTATTTCCCTCCCCCCATATTACTCTATTAGTCTATATGTATATGGTTGCACAACTTTTACTAAATTTAAAATTAATAGGCTCCAGATTTCACCCAGTTAAGACACGGTTGTTAAAGTGTATCGAGTAACTGCACCAAAGGAAGAGAATTCAAGTGACTGAGTCTGTATAATGATTCGATTTTATCCGTGACGACCGTTTTGCACATTTAGTCATTTTTTTTCTAAAATTTTATTTTAAAAAAAAAGCACAGGATAGTGTCACATAAAAGAAAGTTGCTAACTTCCTAGATCGCAGATGGTGAACCCACCAGAAGTAAAGAAAAGCTGAAAGCGCAGTGGCGTTTGAAAATTGCAGATTCCTACATGTTCGTCAATGTGTAGGCCTATCAAAAGATTGTCCTCTTTAGTCATACGAGAGGTCTCTCGAGATGCAAATAACCCATCTCATCTGTCTCTTGTCCATTGAGTTACGTTTTAGGGGTGCTGTGACAGCTCGTGTAACCAAATCCCTCCACTTTTTCCGGTCAACAGCTGTTCTTAGCAGGATATCAGGAGAGAGGTCGATCCAAGTTTTTTTTACGTTATCCAGCTAGCATTTCTTTGGACGACCTCCACTGTGCTCCCTCCACTGTACATTGAAGGATGATTTTTGATAGTAAGTCGTTTCTTACAATATGACCTAACCAGCTTAGCTTTCGTCACTTCACAGTATTGAGGACTTCTTCCTTTTTGCCTGAACCAGATGTCCTTAAGGTCCGAGAACTTTCCGTTCCCTATTATGGACCTCTTGACCAAAGAAAGGCTTTTATCCATAGCCAGGATGAGGCATCGGCTCTTCACCAATTCCTCTGTCCGAAGTCCCACCTTATCCGAAGTGATCATGTATTCACACCAGGACACGGCCACCTTGAGCCAGGCACGGGTTCCCCTTTCCGTGCGAGGCCGGAGGCCGAGCCGCGTTGGGGCCTTTCTTATGCCTTTAATGTCCCACCGAACCCGTGCGAGGGTCCATCACAGCCCGTATGACCCCCGTTAGGGAACGAATCGGTGGGGCGAGCCTTTGTCACATCCCTACCACGCGCAATGTACAATCTCTCGATCATGTCTGTGGTAGCCAACTGAGAGCTATGTGTGCTACCGTACTTAGCCTATCCTCTTCCCTTGGCGGACGTTTCCACAGGAGGGCCACGCTGAGGCGACGGGAGCATTCCTCCTGCTTCCTTTTAGTGACGGGAGCATTCCTCCTGCTTCCTTTTTGCCAGCCAGAGTGTTAACTTGTAGGCCTAAAAGTACAAACTCATTTGTTTTCTTGTTCTGCTATCTGATACCCAGCATTCTTGTGTAGCATTTACTATCAAAGGCTTTGATTCTTCTTTCAGCCTCAGAGTGCACTGCCCTACTTTCACAAATAGGAATACAGAGACCACTAGGGAAGAATACAATTTTAATTTTCAAAACGTAAATAACACACACACACAACCAAACTGCTGGCATTGGAATTAAAATTACATATGACATATGGATGGGCTAACGAGAAGCAGTAAAAAATGAGCTGCTGGCACAGAACTTAAAAATGAATTTAGTAAGTACAGCTTGAAAGAAAAGTTAAGAGCCTACATACTTTGTAAATCATTATCTAACCATACATCCAACAAAAGGAAGAGATGTCCATGTTTGGGTTGGTGTTCTCTGTTCAGTATAGGCATATATATCAGTCTAAAAAAGCAAATGTCTGGCTTTTCAAAGATTCACTTGTTGTTTACTTTAATTGCATCTAATCCTTTATCGATTCTTTCAATCCTTTAAGTTCTTTCAAGATCTGGTTCAAATATAAACATTCAGAAATAGTGTAACGAGAACACTTAAAAAAAAACAAACTCTTTTACAAAAGTTCGTATGAAAAGAAGTTTAGCTGATCAACGTACAAGGCAAATAAGAAACAAACTCTTTCGATTCACTCACTGACTGAGAAGCATTTATCTAAATGTTTAGACAATTTGTTCTAATTTGTCCTGATTTGTAGGTCAGTTTTACTTACATTACATTTACAAAATACACAAACTCACATCTAAATAATATTTACATCAGTGACAACATATTAACTCATTCTCATTAATAGACTATAGGAGAGAACAATCTTTGACTTCTCTTGTAATCTTTTTGGTATTTCTCATATTGCCCCCTCCATTTTTTTTTTTAAAAAAGGTATATATGAATGTATGGGAATGGTTGTTGAGTAGTCAAATGCTTAGCTTCTGAATTGTTGATTTTCAGGTTTGAATCCTGGCGAAGAATGGGGTTATTGAATTTTGGGATTTTAAAGATTATTTTATTAAGAGTCCAACCAACTTAAATGTTTTTTTTTATGGGTACCTGACAATTGTTGGGAAAAGTAAAGGCTTCCGTTTTCATGCTGGCCTGCATGATCCTTTGTTAACTAAAAGTACTTTACTTTTGTAAATATCTGTGTGTAAAATTTTTTAAGTTTAATTTAAAAACAAAAAAGTATGCTTTCAAAGACCAGAAATAGCAGTTGAACTATTTCACTGCAAACAATAATGTAAATAGATTTTCAATAGCCATTTAACTTTTTTTATATGTAGCCATAACATGCAACAGAAACTCAATATGGAGATTCATTGAAGAACAACAAGCTTAATTATATAGTTGGCTGCATGTTTGAGTTTTATATTCCCTAAATCTTCCATGTAGACCATTGCTTCAAACTTTCCTCTTTACCCCCAGATATTTTGTTACATTCCTTAATATTTTGCATTTAATAACAAAAACAAAACTTTTGGCAAATTAAAATGCTTCATTTTTTTCTTCTTAATCATAAACCAAGCTTTCTTGAAATGGGCGAAAAATAAAACTTAACCTTTAGTTCTGTGTATAACTTAAAAATGTCCTAAAAATGACACAAAATCATAGCAACAAAGAAAAAGATCATAACCCCTTCTCCTGTACCATCAAAACAACCTGAAGATCAAGAAAGGAAATAACAAAGATTTCAGTTCTAATTTAGAAATTTATTAGCCAATGTTATAGTCTATACAGTTTGTATTAAAATATAAATGCAGCAACAATTTATAACAAGTGATAGAACATTACATGAAATAGGCAATAAAGATGTCCATGGAAAGCATCACAAATTGTGCATAAGTATGTTAAATTTCTTAAGAAAAAAATAAGCATTGGCTAAGTGGCAAACAACTACTTCTATGTAACATTAAATGAAATACCTTAATGACTGAAGAGTAATTTTATTACAGCTACAGTAGCACTATCCCTGGTTCCTGGGAAAATATCAGAGATAATTTCTTTTTTAAAATGTTGACCCCCCCCCCCCCCCCCCCCCCCAAAAGTGAAAAATATACACCCATATAAATACTAATATTGTCTTTGATAATATTGAATTAATTCAAAGGAAGACAACTTAAAATGCCCTTTTCACTCTTCAACACTGTGCTAGTGAAACAAGTCACATCTCAAAGTTTTCAGTGGACCTAATTAGAAAATCTTTAGTTAACAATGTGTTGGGAGTTTGCAGCTAACTTATCACAGCTATATACACAGCTGTAATTGTGAGAAACTTATCTTGCATCAGTAAAATGCTTGTAAGAGACGATGCTTTATGCAAATAGAGCGAGGTTGTGACCTTGTTCAGTGATAGCACTATGTTCAGGCACTGGTGCCAATAATGCTCATAAAATCTGATATGATTGATAAAATCATTAAACTCCAGCCAGCTCATATACAACTAGAAGGAAATGAGAAGGCTGACACACTTGCCAAGAGTGGGAGAACTAACTCACAAATAAACTCTGCACTCTATCCAGGAGAAATGAAGAAATTAATTGTAAATAAAATAAATGAGAAATGGACGAGCTCTCATCCAAATCACAAGAAAGATGACGCTTACTATAAGCTATCCTGACAAGACCAACATCTAATCTTTCGACTCAGGACCGGACACAACAGAATGCGACAACACATGTACCGGAAGCTCAAAATTGGAACTAGAACAAGTGAAATCTGCCCATGTGAAGTATCACCAGAGAATGCCGACCACGTCCTCCAAAACTGCTCTCTTTACCAAGAGGCCTGTATAAGACATTGGCCCCAAATCACCCCAATAGAAAGAAAACTATATGGAGAGCTCCATGATTTGGAAACCACTGCGCAGTTCATCCCATGTATTGGTCTAGTCATATGAACACTCCAACATAACAATGAGAACGATGAAGAAGAAGAATTAAACTCCAGGAAAGGACTAGAATGCAAAGTAATAATACAACAAAATTACTAAAGTAAAACTTACAAATATGTAAACTAAAAAAATACTCTGAAAGACATAAAGATAAAAGTGCATTTCTTATTCCATGTGCTAGGAGTAGGCCTAGTCATATAAGGGCTATTTCTTTCTAAGTAACGTAAGAACATGGAACATGTTACATGAATCAGCCAGGAAAAGCAATATGTAATTAAGGTTTAAGTTTCAATATAGATCTACATAAATAACTAGAAGAACACATGGATATGGGTAGGAAGTAATCTTTGTTGAAGAAAACCATGTAATTTATAAGATAAGAATTAGCTCTTTTCTTTGTTTTTTTTTTTCTAATTTGTATATTACAGACGTTACTTCAAAAAAGAAAATAATTACGTCCTATGCATTTCATGTCATCTAGTCATGCATGCTAAGTCGGTTTTCCTGGCTGATTCAGGTTCTCTAATGGCACTTGGGAAGAATGAGCACTTGTATGAATTTACTTTTACTAATGATCAAAAGCTAGAAATAAACACAAGTTTAGCTAGAAAACAATTTAAGAGAAATTTTATATTCCGTTGCACAATTAGGCCTATAAGTAGGTCTACATATATCACTGCAAGAAGCAGTCTTAAAATACATGTAATACTGACTTTCCTTTCAACTATATTTTCAGTCATGCTTACAAATAATATTCATCTTGTCACAAGCATACAAATTTAATAATTAAATATAGAAAGAATACTTACATTATATGTCTTTAAGACATTTACAATGAACTATCTAAGTTTCATAAATAACATTAAAAAAAAAACCATACATTGAATAATTTTATACAGAATAACAAAGGCCTGGCAATAAAATGTTTATTAAGACAATATTATTGTTGTATGTTCATAAGGTATTAAAGTTTCATTTAGTTTTCATATATGTTATTTGAAAACTAAAATATCAATAAAAGACAAAAAAGTCTCCCTTTAAAGTAGCCCATAATGATTTGTGCTTCAAAATTTTGTACTTCAACATTTGTAATTTTCTGGGAATGTTTTTAAAACCATTAACATTTAAGAGTATGTTTTACACGTAAGTTCAATTTAAAAATAAAGATGGCTCATGGCTGCCAGGTTGTTGGTATGTGTTCTGGACTGTTATTCAGTCACCTATATGGTCCCGTGTTCATACCCATCACAGCCATCCCGTGTTGTCCTGCGATAGGTCTGGGCTAGGACATGCTTCAGAATCTGAAGGAATATTTGAAACATGTAAAACAAAACAAACTTTTGTTTTTATTTTGGTCTAGCAGAATTTTCTTATATGTAAGTCTGTTGCATTTTTCTCTATACATCTATGTAGATATTTAAAATGTATCAAAACAATTGTATTTCTCATTTGACTAATGGTTAAGATTATTCACACTAAACTAAAATGAAAAAAAAAGTCAAACAAATCGTGAAATTACCAGTATTATTGATAAAAAAACACTTTGGCATGTCTATTTTATAGAAATAAAAATATTGAATGAAACTGATCATATCTTCAATATTTACAGAATACACGAAAAAGAAAAAGTTTAGATTAAAGTGACATTTGGAAAAATTTACTTATTTTATGTTATTTTTGCTGATAGGCTATAATACATATTGCTGTAAAAAAATACATCAAAATTAAAGTATATATATTATCTAAACTGCGGCAGAAAAAAATTGATCAAGAATTATAATAAAATAAATGCCTAACTCAAATAATTAACTATTTCCCGTCAAGAGGTTCAGTTGAGTCCATCATTGGGTTCTTGTAGGTTGTTGTTGCTCCTTTGTAAACAGGATTTTCTTGCTGTTGGTTTTGGAAAGAAAACCATATAAAATATAAATAATATAATAATTTCTACATATTTTATAATATTAGAGGTCTATATATAAGATGAAGCAATTATATTAGTGCTAATATGTACATATGTTTGTAGTGTGAAGATTCTGCCACAAGTGAGTCTTTTTTAAGTCCTTGACTAGTATATTGTTGAGTCGTTATTCTTTGCTAATCATATATAGTACTTATTCATTGTATAAATTTGATATTTGTTCCTCTGAAACTTCTTACATTATATGTCAGATCCATGTCTCTTATCTATGAGTAGGCCTATCTGATCTATTTGATTTGCTGTTGTTTCCATCAGGTGAGATACAGATTGCAAGGTGAATTTCTTATGTTGGAATTTAGTGCTGATAGACATTCCTTTTCCTGTGGCAAAATCCAAAATCCTAGTCCATTATTGTTGGTCTCTTCATGTAAGCTTCCTTTGCCAATTGTTAGTCTGAATGTGGCTTTTTTCAGTTTCAGTATTGAAATCTTCTACTATATTTTTAATGTCATGCAGCAGTGTTTTATCATAAATTTGTTCCATCCATCATAGACAACTTTTTAATGTTATCATCTGCTTCTTCAGTAGGGGCATGGGTGTTAATAAATGATATGTTGAAAATCCCAACAGGATTCAAATTTATGAACTGCAAATCAGCAGTCAAATGCTTTACCCCTTCACCAACACATGTCAGAGTGTTAAATAATAATGTCATTCTTTAAAATGAACACAATCTTTATCTGTTGATATCTAGTCAACTGACTGTGTAAATGTTTAGGCGACAATGGGCTTGGAGTGAAGAAGATGAAGGAAATTAGATGAAACATTCCACATGACTCAATGCCTATTTGTGTTTTCCTAATACTTTCTTCAGTTATTTCTCTCAATAACTATTATGTTCTTGTGCTGTAATTTCTGTGGCCTACAGTTAATGAGGGTGTCATGTGGCCAGCACAACAACCCACTGCCTTTACTTTTCCCCTGCCAGGTACCCATTAGAGCTGGGTGGACTCAGAGGCACCCAAAGATCCCAAAATTAGAAAGTCCAGTTTTCACTAGGATTTGAACCCGGGATCCCCAGTTAGCCAAATACTTTACCACTCAGCCACAGTGAAAAATCAATTCCTAAATTAATTGTTGTCATGACAAGCATCAGATATACTTCACGGGAAGAGAATAGCTGAAAATGTTTAGGACATATGCACAAATATTACACTAAATAATCACGTTGTTACACTAAGTTCTATATAAAGCCTTTTTTTTTTTTTTAAATAATGTCTAGTTAAATTGTTTTACCTTTGCCCATTTGCACTGTTTGAGGTCTTCCTGGAATCTGGCATACTCAATTTTGTCAAAGATACTGGTCAGAATTTTCCAAAGCAATAATAACAACAGTCCAATAGCAACCACACCGCCCACAACTGCAGCCACAATAGGAAGAATATCAACTGGTTCAGAGCATGCTGGGGGAAAATTGGCAAATATTTAATAAAGATTGCATCTAACATATATACAAAATAAATTTATACAATTCAAATTTTCTTTATCAGTTTATTTCTTACTTTTAGTTTTTTGTACAATAATTGTGACATTGGTTTCAGATGAAATCACATAAAATGAAAGGAAACATCCATCTTCCTGCTTGATTGAACATGGATTTGAAACTTGGTAACCTGGTCACAGAAGATATATTACATTTTGTTTTAATATGAAAGATTTTTGTGGCATATTTTTAATCATTTAATTAAAGCAAAATAAAAATGTACACTTATGGAGAGATATCTCAGTCAGAGTTCCAAGTAATCCAGGTTTTTGCGACATCTGAGCTTTGAGTAATGTAGCCAACATGAATTCTCAAGATTTAAATCTAATTGTAGTTAGAAGGATTAGGAATTCCAAATAAAGAAAGTGGGGGTGAACCAAGGGGCCAAGAGTATGTGGATACTTCTATTACATGAAGTTTTTCATGATTTGATTAATGATCTACCATGTAAACAGACTCAAAAATATTATTTTTTTATTATTTCCTGATTATAAAAAGAGCTTACTTTTCAAAGAATCAACGATTTCAACAGATGGGCAGTCCTCATCACAGGTTGTTTTCTTGTCAAAGTGACACTGAGCACATTGTCTGTACTGGTTGTTATCACAGATATTGTCACCACACAGCTGTAGGAGATTTCAATCAATACAATCAGTCATTACAAAAAAAAAAAAAAAA